CGGGGGAGCAGCCAGGGTGTCTCGGGGGCAGGAACATCTCGCCCTGGCCGTGTCCTGCAGGTCAACCTTGGACTCACAGGCCGAGGCCCGGCCGGCCCTGGCCAGCCCAGTGACCCTCGGGGCTTGTTACTCAACAGTCCGGCAGGACATGACACGGGCCTTCTTTCCTGCTTTTAACTTGGTTTCCTCGGTTTCCGAGTTTGGGGTCCGCTGTGCTAACCGTGCACAGAAGCCTCCGTCTCCGTCGCGCTTGGGCGCCCGGTGCACCCACAGGTGTGTGGGAGCCGGAGGGTCCCCTGGCGCGCCCCGTCCTGGACACAGGGGGCTGCCCCATTTTATTTATTAAAAATGCCCGGCCGCCAGGTCCCGGGACAGAAGGAAGGCGCGGTGGTTGCAGACAGACTTTCCCACAGGAATGAAGCTGCAGGTCGCCCGGGCTCTGGCCTCTTCACTTCCCTCTGGGCTGTGGCTCCTCTGCGGTCAGTCGGTCGGTCCCAGAGCTGCTTCGCTGAGGGGCTGGGCTGTAACGTCCTGGGATGGGAAGAGCGGGGTGAGTCCTGCTATGGGGCCCCCGGGGTCCCCTGGGAGGGAACAGTGACTCCCAGCTGCACGTTACCCCCTAGGCTTCGGGCGACATGGAGAAGCCCGACACCAGGTCCTGGGTGAGGAGGGCATGCGGGGCCGTGTCCCCTTCCCACCTACGGTGACAGGGATGTGGGCAGCGTGAGCAGCCTGAGGACGCTCGGGGCTCTGCGGCTCCAGGATGGCCTGGGCGGGCCTGGGCGGCGTCCAGCTGGGGCAGTGGCGTCTCTGCAGGCTCCCCTGCGGGTGCCAGCAGCCCCCAGACAGCACAGCACCAGCTGCCAGACACCATGCGTGCAGCTGTGCAGGGACACGCAGGAGGTTCTGAGCGAGGATTGGCGAAGGGGGTGGTCACAGGATTGGAGGGGGATCAAGGATGTGTAGCCACTTGTGTCTGTAGCGACTTGTGTCTGTAGCGACTTGTGTCTGTAGCCACTTGTGTCTGTAGCCACTTGTGTCTGTAGCAAGTTGTACTGGTTGTGTCTGTAGGGAGCTGTGTGTGTAGGTAATGAGCTGTGTGTGTGTGTGGGTGGGGGAGCTGTGTGTGTAGGTAATGAGCTGTGTGTGTGTGTGGGTGGGGGAGCTGTGTGTGTAGGTAATGAGCTGTGTGTGTGTGTGGGTGGGGGAGCTGTGTGTGTAGGTAATGAGCTGTGTGTGTGTGTGGGTGGGGGAGCTGTGTGTGTAGGTAATGAGCTGTGTGTGTGTGTGGGTGGGGGAGCTGTGTGTGTAGGTAATGAGCTGTGTGTGTGTGTGGGTGGGGGAGCTGTGTGTGTAGGTAATGAGCTGTGTGTGTGTGTGGGTGGGGGAGCTGTGTGTGTAGGTAATGAGCTGTGTGTGTGTGTGGGTGGGGGAGCTGTGTGTGTAGGTAATGAGCTGTGTGTGTGTGTGGGTGGGGGAGCTGTGTGTGTACACTGTGCCTGCCGGAGGGTTTGGTCTCAGCTCTGATGCCTGTGCCTGTCGGTGTCTGGCCCTCGGCTGCCTGCAGCTTTGTAGACGTGACACCATCTTCAAAAGGGCACCTACAGGGCTGGCTCCAGTCCCGGGGTTCTCAGGGTGCAACCTGGAAAGACGGTGTTTTCCTGGATTCCCCATCCTCGGAGCCAGCTCCGTTACCCACCTGGGGTGCTGACACCATCGCCTGCCCTGCCTGCCTGTCTGGGCCTCGTCACTGCACCCGGCCCCTCCATCCTGTCTCGGGCATCGCACCATCCGACAGTTGAGCTTGTGGTCCAGAAACACGAGGGCCCAGTGCTGGGTCCATGTGCTGGCCCCTCCCCGAGTCTGAGGGAGTCTGGGCAGAGAGGGAGGAGGGCAGGAGAGGGACGCGTGGAGGTCTGTTCTCGGGGCTCCAGGATGGCCAGGCTTGGTGTGCTTGCTGCCTGGCTCACAGCGAGAGCCGCCAGCAGGAGACCCTACGCCGTCGTTCGGTTATCTCGCCCGGAGGAAGGGAGAGACTGAACTGTCCCCCTCGGAGTCGTAGGATTTATTTAACCCCAGGGGACACTGGATCCAGATCATGCCAGTTCTGTGGTTTTACATCTGCCTCTGGGCACCTGGGCACCCAAAACACCCAAGCCTGGCGGGCAGTGCAGGCAGTGCAGGCAGAACCTGTGGCGGTGCCCAGGCTGGGGCATGTCCACAGGCTCGGAGCGCACCGGAAAGAACGCAGCCCGCCGGGCCTCAGCGACATCGGGCAGAGCGGCCCTCACCCCGGGGCCCAAGCCCCACTACGGAGCTGGTGACTCGAGGCCAGTAACGAGCCTGAGCGTCCGTGTGAGTGGGAGGCCTAGTGTTCCGTGTTGATAAGGTGGCCCAGTTGATCGTGCCTGGCACATAGCAGGTGCTTCGTATTAGTAACTGACACCCGCCAGCCTGCATTTACATTTTTTTCATGGGCAGGCCCTGGGGTCCAGTGTGGGGGGAAATTGTTTTCTTAGGTCCTGAATAGCAGAACCAAGATCCGAACCCACTGAGTGGACTGCTCGTGGTTCTTTGGTCCTAATGCCCTGGCGCCCTCCCCCCGCCCCCCCAGCCCCAGCCCTGCACCGGGCACTTCCGAGGGGGACCGGGTTGCAGTCAGCCTCTGGGTCCGGCCTCTCCTGTGCAGAATGCAGAGGCTCCGTGGAAGCCAGGGCTCAGCCCGGGGCCCATTGATGCAATCATGCAAAACGGGAACCAGCCCGTCTCATGACCGACAGGGAAAAGCCCAAGGAGAAGCTGAGGCGGCGCACTGGGCTGAGCTCTGGGTGTGGGCAGGGCAGCCCCGGGGCCACGAGGAGTCCTCTGGGAGGTGGGCTCCTGCCCACCCAGCGCTCAGAGCCCTGCCTCCAGGCGCTCGCCTTCCCCAGAGGCCGGCCCTGGGGACACCTGGTGCTCGCCTGCCTGGGCTGGGGCGGTGGCGTGTTGCACAAGCAGCTGTGTTCCTCTGGGAGGTCCGCCAGGGCAGCCGCAGGGAGACCTGGTCGTTACACGCGGGTCCCAGACAAGGCACCAATGGGGAGGCGTGGGGGGGCGGGCAGGAGAGGGGAAGGTGAGGCCAGGCCCTCTGGGCTTTCCCCGGGAGGGGCAGGCGGGCAGGGGACTCACAATTGGGGGCTTGGGGCTGTCGGCCTGGTCCCTGGTTGCCTGGC